AGACAAGCCGTGGCTACATCCCGCACCTGTCCCGCCCTGGCTGGGCAGCACTTGCCCCAGCCCCACTCCCTCCCCTTACCATGGGGGCCTTGATTTGCCCCCCCTTCCCTCCCTCCTCCCTTTCTACCACAACAGACTTATCAGCTGGACACTGCTCTTCAAGGTGCGGGGCTGTGCTCCTCACTGCCTATGTGCTATGCTGCAGCTGCACATGCACGGGCTGCCTATGTGCTGCACATCAGCCAAATTATTGGCCATATCAATTTCCAATACAGACAATTTTCTTTATATATGTCCGATATCAGATTGGCACTGATGTATCAGCGCACCTCTACTCCAAGCAAGAAAGTTTTTCTTAATATCTAACCTAAGCTTCCCTTAATGCAAGTTGAGACCATTGCTCCTTGTTCTGTTGTAAAACTAAAAGAATTAGTAAGGTAGATTAATCAGAAACTGGCTAACCATCACTTAGTTTAACTCTCTCTGTTTTTGTTTTTTTAAAGACTAAATTCATGGTGACTAGATGTTCTGCCTACTCTGTGAACTACTGCAGAACATAACTTACCAGGTGACCAGGAATATCTAAAGGAGAGGAAATGGCAGCTGAGTAAAGCCTTCGTTTGGTTCGTTTTGGCTTGGGCTGATTTTCTTTGTGATTTTCCACTTGTGCAGATTTGGGAGAGCTTATCGTTTCAATCAACTTCTTTGCTGAAAGAGCCATTATATTTTAATCAATATTTTATAAATTTTGTAAGTCAAGACAGAATAAATTAGAAAAAAAGAGAATAAATACGATGCAACATTTAAAACCTACAAACACATGCTTTATTTTTTTAACAAGATTTAGGAAAAATTTAAAGTAGATCTAGATGTGGAATTCAGAAAGGGCAGCTAACTGAAATTACATTGCTAGGAAGCCAAAACTGTTATGAAACTTTTCTGCAAGGGTGAGTTGCAAGAGTTCAAGAACACGCAGAAGACAGCACAGAGGTGCACCTTATAGATTAAATCAGAGATGCATAAGCTTTTGTAGGCAATAGTTGCTTTGTTCAGCAATTAGACTAACAGCTGTGCAAAGATAATAGTGATGGCAATAATTAACATGCACACCTGTCAAAATTTAAAATGTGTATGCATGAAACAAATCCTCCTTGCAGTTTAATTCCATATCTATCTGCATTTAAAAATGGCAAATTCTTGATTGGCCTTTGTAGACTCTTTTTATTAACATTTTCAGAATATTTTCACAAGAGGATAGCTTCCATATTCATCAGTATTAGTCAATAATAACCCCCTGCAACCCCACCAATAAATTGCATTGTAACCCACTGCTGTTTATTAAAAGCTGTTGAACAGAATGATTGGAGCAGTCTTCTCTGGCATCTCTTAAACCAATAATGGTGGATAACAGGAAGGATAATAAATAGGGGACAGATCACTGCTCTCCTAGCATCTACTTCTGCCAGTAAGAAACAGGACACTGAGCTAAACGGATCATTGATCTGAGCCAGTATGGCATTTCTTATGTAGTTATGTTTAAATATCATATCTGTGGAAAAGGCAGTTAATACAGTTTCCAAAGAAATAAAACAAATCAGACTTTTCCCATACAGAAAATTATATATTTTGGATTTGATTCTTGTGTCAATTTTACACTAACCCCAAGCTGTCTGCCCTCCTGTAGCTGCCTGACTCCTGCCACTGCTTTCCCCGAAATGCAGGAGGGGAGGCAAACTTTAGACAACCGTACAATAATTAGATTCTGTATTTGGAAAATTATAACAAATGTATAATTTTCCATATATAGAATCTAATTATTTGGGGGGGGGGGGGAGAGGAGGGTGCTAACCTTAAATTCTAAATCATCTTGATTTGGGTAAATACAATATTTGCAAAACACTTACTATACCATCTCTGTAAGCCAGTATGTTACTTGAATATCTTGCCACTACACTTTCTAATAGGTAGGACCTGGTTAAAATCACGATTTATTTTTCACAAAACTGATTTCCACAAAAAAGGAAATTTGCAATGAAATGGAGTTCCCCAGCAAGCAGCCATATCATGGCATTACGTTGCAACAAGATGGATGCTGCAGGCTGGGGAGACCACTCTCCTACCAGCAGCAAAAGCCGTGAAGCCTAGGGGAGCGGGGGTGCTGTTTGCTCCTCCAGGTGGGAAAACTGGGGTGCTGGGGAGAGAGAACACACATGGAAGAGCAAACAGCCCCTCCTCTACCCAGTGCCAGGACCATCTGCCAAGGCAGTCCCCAAGTGCCCCAACCCCCTGCACCCCAGTTTTCCCATCCAGAGGAGCAAACAGCCCCTCCCCTATCCACCCCCAAGCTCTCTCCTCCCCGTCCCTTTTGCAAATCCTTCCCCCCTGCCCTGGACTGCTAGGCTTTTGCTGCTGGCTAGGGAATGCTTTCTCCCTGCCTGGCAGAAACAACATGGGGCAGATAGCTGCTACTGCTGTTCCTGCCTCTTCCAGCGAGGCAGGGGTGAGGCCGTGGGGATTTTTAGGAGGGGTCAGAGGCCTTGGGAGCTGCTGTAATTAAACCTGGCCCTAAACCTGCCCCCTCAGCCAAATCGGAGGATGTGGAGGGGCATCATAATTTAGGTGCGAAATGGCAGGCCCCCACCATGATTAGGCCACAATATTAGCGAGCTGGGCCCGTGATTTAAACTAGGCCCTACTAACAGGTGACAAAGAAGTGGTCTTAGACTTGAGCTCAGTACAGACCTTTTGAATGAATAATTATAGGAGAACTTTGAAGGAAATCTCCAAGCTTTTGTAAGGTTCCATCTTTTTTCCTAGTAGATTTCATACTTGCAGTAGATTGTTGGTTTCTTAAAGGGTATTCCTTTCGAAATGACTGTGAATTAGATACCTAAACAGAAACATTGATTAAGAATTTGGCTAGACAATCACCAATTCACTTATTTTAGTCTATGAATTAAATTTGATCATTAGAATGATGATCTGCAGTTTTAAAACTTAGTCCCAACTCTGCCCCTTTGTATTGGGGGTCTAAATACATTAATAGATGCTCTTGTTTGCAGGAGCAAAGTAATTCCAAATATTTTGACTGAGGAGGAAGTAACAAAGCAGTATAATGGAACAAGAAGATCCAGGAAGTGTAGCAAAACCCCCAGTTTTTCATTCGTTCCCTTCCCTTCCCCAATTATTTCTGGCTTTTCTCTCTCTCCCTCTCTATTCCCTATAGACAAGCATAAGCGAGCTCAGACTTAGGATAAGCTTTAACATTTTTATTTTGGTAGCAAGTTTCTGGTTTTGGATATCCATTGTTTTATATTGTATTATTATTAGGTTTGTATTGATTCTTACTGTTGTATGTTGTATTATTATCATTTTCGTATTGATTTTTATTGTTTCATATGGATATTGTATGGTTTAGGCCTGTGTTTGTAAGTGACCGAAAGTAATGCCAAGTTTCCATTTTGTATGTCAAGTCTCCATCTTGTGTCCTCTGCCCAGGCATCCCCTGTGTTGCAACTGTATGATTCACGTATCCCTCCCATGTAAAATGGTTCCCGGATGAATGAGAGTGATTGGGAATGAGTGAAATACAATGGTAGCAGGCCTCTACTGAATGGCCTGTAACGACCTGGCCATCACCTCGTATTGATTCATCCAGGAACCACAGACCTCACCCAGGAACAGAGACAAGAACCCAGCATTTGAAAGACAAAAGATCCTGCAGAACCAGCAACTCTACCATTGTACCCCACCATTACAGACACCCGAAACTGCACATCCCTGCACAGAGCACACATGCTCAGTACACCAGGGGCTGAGCTTTGCCTGGGCATGCCTCCTGTCACTAGGGTCACACAAGGTCTGCCCCTATAAAAACGGGTAGTGAAGACTGACTCCTTGGGACGCCCTCTCCATCTGGACCAGCACCATGCCACACCACCTATCCACCCAGAGGCCCTGCCGGCGACCCCCCTCTGGACAACGACCCCTTTCCAGCCTGGATAGGTAGCTATCACTCCCCACCCCGTCTTCAACTTGGGGGACTTGGACTCTGCTTCTCTTCCCTACCTGGGCTCCAGCCCTTCCACTAAGTTTCTTTCTCCTGCTGTCATCGTGAGTGAGTGAGTGAGTCAATAACTTCATGGGGCTGTGTAGTGTGTTGTCTGTGTAATAAAAATATTATTTGGACACCTAAATTGGGTTTTGCTTTACTATGGTTTGGCCCTGCTCCAATCTCTGCTCCTTGCCCCTCTAACTTCTGTCTCATTTCTCCCTCTCCTGCTTCTGGCTCTCTGCCACCTCCAGCACCTGTCCTGAGCTCCTCTCTGCCTCCAAACCTGCCTTTTCTTTGCCACTGTCTTATCCCCACTGCCTTTTCCTTTTCCCCCCGAGCAACCAGGTTTCTGCCTCAGTTTATTTCCTGGCTGTCTCCTCCTTGCCACCACTTATCTGCACCCCCCCCTCAATATCTCAGCTGTCTGCCTCAGTTTCCAGCCCCAGTCTACCTTAAGTAAACCCAAGCCTTAGTTCCTCAGCCAGCCTCTCTGTAGTCCATCAGTTCTAATCCCGATTCTGGCAACTTTCACTCCCTACACTTTAACACTCTCTCTCTCACCTGAACCTTCCCCCAAGTATCCCAGGTACCCCAAGCACACACATACACACTGTATGATCCAAATTAGGAACTTACCTGTGTGTATGTGTGAGAACTGGTGCATGTGAGTGTGTGTGTGTATATATATATATATATATGGCATTGTGTGCATGATATATGAATTATTGATACGTCTCTAACTTTTGGGGTGTATAATGTATGTGCTTGAATTGGTGATAGATATGCATGTGCCTAGGCTGGTTTGGGTGTGTGTGTGTGTGTGTGTGTGTGTGTGTGTGTGTGCGCGCACGCGCAATTGTGTCACACCCTCCTAACAGCACAATATTGAGATCCTGAGAATTGGCCTGACCCCAAAGGGCAACAGAAGATATATTATAACAAGCATGGGCAAAATCTTGGCATCACTAAAATCAAGGACAAAATCTGTATCGATTTTAATAGGACCAGAATTGCACCCTTTATATTGTACAGCTGTAGACACATTATGATAAATTTAACGTCACATGCTTCATAAAGGATTTTAGAGTACCTCACAAATAATTGTTTAGATATAAAGGGATTGCTTCACTATGCAGCATGGTGGGATAGGTAGCAGTTTAATAGAGGACTGCAACATTAAGCAGTGTGAAGAGGCAACTTGAAAAAAATATACCTGTTTGTAATTTTGACACATTATAATAGCTGCTAAATTATTAAAACCAACAGATTTGACAAATTACTACACACTTCTGTTCTTTTTCATTACTATGTTTACTTGGCAGTAGTTTCTACTGTTTCAGTTTTCTCCTTTATAGAGCAGGCCCCTTTCTCCTTTGTTTCTTGACTTTTATTATAACTTGATTCTTCTACTTAAATAGACCTTTGTGCCCACATCAAGCCCTTTTTGAGAGTGATAAGGTGAGACTGCAAAGCTGGAGCCTTAAATTAAAGGCTCACTATGGCAATAAGTAACTATACCCTTCCTTGTACAACAGTTGAAATGCTCCCACATTAACTTGATGCTACAGCTGTCACAACCCAAAGGGTGTGATTTTTGTTTTTGTGTGCTTCGGCACTGCTAAATTGTTCCCGCTAAATTGCAGCTTCTTTGCACGGTGGAGTTTTCTGCTGCAAAAGAGAACCCCGGTGCAAAAGAATTCCCACCACCAGTAGCTTTCTTTGCAGGGTGCATTTCTTTGCTGCAGCACAGAAATGCTCGTTGCAAAGAGTTCCCGGCATTCGTATTCAAATTTGTGCCCCACCATTGGCCAGTTCTAAATTATTCACACGTGGCGGCTAGTGATTGGCTTGCTAGCCGTATAAAAAGCTTGAGTGGTTTCCGCCCAAGTTGGAGGACTCCACGAACACCAGGAGGAGGAGACTTCACACTGTGTGAAGATCTCTAAGCGCTGCGGATCCTTACATTTAAAGCAGGCAACAGGGGTCTGATCAGCCTCTAGCCTCTCCCCGTCACCGAGCGCAATCCTCGACGTATCCCTCTCCCTGCGCCCTGCACGCAAAAAGGATCCACGGAGCCTAGCAAACTTCGTGTGAGTCTATTTCTTGCCAGCTGGAACAACTGACATAGTTGTTCAGACGACCAGAATAGCTCAGAGCACAAGTTCCACGGAGCCTAGCAAACTTCGTGTGAGTCTATTCAGAGCTCTTTTTTATGAGTACTTTCTTTGGTTGGCAAGACGGGCTCGCGGTTTAGAGCCTCCAACCAGATGGGCTAGAAGAGTGTTCACAGGAAGGACCTCTAGTCCGCCTCTTATCTTTTCTATCTGCAACTGTAACTCAAGCAAGTTTTCCTGCCTGCACCGCGACCATCTTTGGTGCAAGTAAACAATCTTTAAATCAACCACTACGCCTCTGTGACTAATTCTAGCCCGTGCGTGCCTTGCCGCCGCGCGGTCCCTTCTGACCCCGCGTGCCCGGGCTGCTGGCCACAGCCCACGTGCGCAAAGACGGGTCCGCATATCGCTCCCGGCTCGCACATGGCGACATGGATGGGATCGGGAGGCAGCTCGCACATGGCAACATGGACGGGATCGGGAGGCGGCCCGCACAACAGCATGTCGAATACTAGTACGGACAGCTAGCCAATTGCAGGTCTGACCCCCTGCCCTGGGCAGGAATGAGTGCCAGGGTCATAATACCCCAGCCAAATATCTGTCCAGCCTCCTCTTGAAGACCCCCAAGGTAGGAGGGAGCACCACCTCCCTTGGGAGTCCATTCCAGAGCCTGGCAGCCCCAACTGTAAAGTAGTGTCTCCTGATGTCCAGCCTGAACCTTCTCTCTAAAGGGGTGGGAAGGGGTCCTTGGCGCAGTAACGATAGATAGGAATATGAGAAGGAATTGAAAAACTAAGGGTGATGGGCGGACAACCATCAGAGAAAGCTCACCAAACATCAACCGCAAAACCAACAGGTTAGAATGCTCAAGGGAATCCACCCCTACCTCAGTCCAGGAACAGAGCTTCTTCATGAACACAAGGAAGCCTAGGGCCTCCAATCGCACACTTATTCCCCAAACTCCTAGCATTAGTGTACAGGCACGTAAAACAGGAAGAACTGGTCCTTCTGCTAAGCAGAAACAATCACAATCTCACAGGGAACATGGAGACCTGGTGGAACTCCTCCTATGACTGAACTACTGGTATAAATGGCTATACCCTATACAGGAGAGATCGTGCCGAAAAAAAGGGGTGGAGGTGTAGCTCTCTATGTGAAGGAGAGCTACACATCCCTACAAGCTGAGATTGGCACCCAAGCAGGACAACTGGAGACAAGGGGAACATAGTGAAGGGGATCCAATGGTAGGAGTCTACCACAGACCTCCGAACCAGGAATAAGTACTTGACCAAGAATTTGCCAGGGACCTGGCCAAGGCTGCATGCTCTCCGTGCATGGTCATCATTGGAGACTTCAACTACCTGAACATCTCATGGGGTAAGCACTTGGCCAAATCCGATCGTCACAAAGCTTGCTTACATGTGTGGATGACCTCTATCTGTCCCAAGAAATTTATGGGCCGACAAGAGGCAAGACGCTGCTGGACCTAGTATTGGCCACAGGGCATGATCTAATCAGCAACCTAAGAATCAAAAGGGAAGCTGGGTGACAGTGACCATGAGTTGATCACTTTCATATCCATCGCAAAGCTGGCAAGTCAACCAGCAATGCAGTAGTCCTTGACTTCAGGAAAGCTGACTTTCATTAGCTCAGGAGGCTTGTCCTTGAAGCCCTGGAGGCCATGATTTCACAAGGAGGGGAGTTCATGATGAGTGGTTGCTCCTTAAGGAAGCAATCCTAGAAGCACAAGGGAAGCCCATCCACACCCATAGGAAAGGTGGTGAAAGGGCTCAACAATCCCCCTTGGTTCAACAGGGAACTCATAGGCCTCTTACGTCTAAAAAGAAAGGCATATAATGGATGGAGGACAGGAAACACCGCTAAGGAGGAATATGCTGCACTGGTCCACACCTGCAGTGAGTGAACTAGAAAAACCAAGGCTGCAACTGAACTCTAACTGGATACATGAATCAAGGACAATAAAAAGCCCTTCTTCAGATATGTGGGGAGTTGAAAGAAAAACAAAGGCAACATTGGACTCCTGCTAAACCAGCTGGGGCAGCTGACTGGCTTTTTCCTAGATGTCAGTAGTCTGCTTAATGATTACTCTGCATCCGTTTTTCACCAGCCCAAAGGGACCACCCTGCCTAACATGATGCGGGATGACTGGGGTGAAGATGAATATATGCCCATCACTGGCGTGGATCTTTTGAGGGAGCATCTTGAGAGGCTGGACCCCCATAAATCAGCTGGTCCAGATAGGCTGCACCCAAGAGTGATAAAGGAACTGGAAAAGATATTCAAGAATGCATGGCGCTCAGATGAAGTCCATGAAGACTGGAAGAGGGTCAATGTGGTGTCCATCTTCCAGAAAGGGAGAAAAGACGACTTGGGAAACTACAGGACAATTAGTCTGACCTCAATCCCTGGGAAGATTTTGGAAAAAATTATCAACAAAACCGTCCTTGACAGGCTAACAGAAGGCAGCATTCTGAGGGATAGTCAGCATAGGTTTGTTTCGGGTAGGTCTTGCTTGACCAATCTCATTTCCTTCTATGACCAGGTGACGTATCACCTGGACAAAAGGGAAGAGGTTGATGTCATATATTTGGACTTTAAAAAAGCCTTTGACCTGGTGTCATATGATGTCTTCAGGGAAAAATTGGGCAACTGTGGCCTTGACCACTCTGCAGTCCGAAGGCTGGAGAACTGGCCCTGAGGTTGGACTCGGAGAGTGGTAGTTGATGGAACCGAATCAACATTGCACTCGGTGACTAGTGGTGTACCCGAAGGCTCCGTTCTCAGATCTGTACTCTTTAGTGTCTTCATAAATGATCTGGACACTGGTGTCAAAAGCAGACTGGCCAAGTTCGTTGATGACACCAAATTTTGGGGAAGAGTCTCCACACTTGAGGATAGGCTGGTGATCCAGGCCAACCCCAACAGACTTGCAGGGTGGGCAGAAGAAAACCTGATGGCATTCAATATGGAGAAATGCAAGGTGCTCCACCTTGGGAATAAAAACCCACATCACACTTATAGGCTCGGAAATGCTACACTTGCTAGCACGAGACTTGGGGGTCATGATTGACCACAAGATGAATATGAGCCACGAACGCAATATCACAGCTGGCAAAGAGAACAAAACTCTGGCTTGCATCTACCGATGCATCTTGAGCAAGACCCAAGATGCCATCCTCCCACTGTACTTGGCCTTGATGAGGCCGCAGCTGGAGTACTGCATCCAATTCTGGGCTCCACCATTTAAGAAGGATGCAGAGAAGCTTGAAAGAGTACAGAAAAGATCCACGTGCATGATCAGAGGGCAAGAGAACAGGCCTTAAGAAGAAAGGCTGTGAGCTATGGGACTCGTCAGTCTGGAGAAGTGCAGGCTCGGGGGTGACTTGGTGGCAGCCTATAAGTACATAACGGGGTGTGCATCAGGATCTGGGGGAACACCTGTTCAGCAGAGTACCCCAGGGGAAAATAAGGTCCAATGATCACAAACTCCTGCAAGGCTGTTTTAGGCTGGACATAAGGAAAAACTTCTTTACTGAGAACCCAAGGCCTGGAACAAACTTCCCCCAAAGGTGGTGCAAGCATCTACTCTGGACACTTTCAAGAAACATTTGGACGTTTATCTTCCTAGGATCCTTTGACTCTAGCTGACTTCCTGCCCTGTGGGCAGGAGGGTAGACCTGATGATCTTACGAAGTCCCTTTGAGCCCTAATGTCTATGAAATCTATTTTAAAAAAGTGGCAGATGATACCTAGGACCATGTGTAATACCTAAACCTGCTTGTATATCTTCTAACATTAACTAGATTTCAGAGTATCCCTTTAAAACAAATAATATTTAATATAATCCCCAACTGAAACGGCAAGGGATTTTTTGTGGGAGGACTAATTTCAATGTAATTTCTCCAGATACAATAGGATAATACCTTTAGTTTCATCGTGATCTGTTTCATGTATATAGGGCAATCTATACCTTTGACTTGAAAGAATCATGTATAACAACACAAGACAAAGGCTTCATGTTGTATTATTTCATAAATATGTGATATTCTTCCCTTTGAATCACTTTTGCTACTTCCAATGGCAATCAGATATCCCTTAATTATATCCCTGCCAAATATGGATTTAATTACCTTTTAGAATCTAAAGTGCTAGCAATGCAAGCACATGTGTAAAGCATAAATATAAATTTCAAAACCACTATTACTTGCATGTATCAAACCCCACAGAATATGAATAAAACCAACTTCAAGAATAAAATAAAACAAACCATTTTCATCTTGTTGATTGTAGCAGAATTGGAACTTATAGGCAACCTATTATTAGTCATAGATGTGGTATTTTTCTTGTTTACATGTTTCACAGAGTCCTAAGGGGAAAAAAAGAACATACCAAATTCAGCTACAGTTAGCATTGCAGCTATAAAATTTCTTCTGAGGCAAGTAGTAGTATTTTGTATAATCAGAGAAACAGACAAATCTAAATGGGCAGACAGACTGTCATGACAACATATGGTCAGTATTTCCTAAGATAAACAAGAACCTCTAGTACATTCTTGAATCAAAGACTACATAACTATCTAAATAAAAGAACACTGGAAACAGAGATCATTAACTCAGTCTAAGATGGATGATTTTTCCTTTTCATCATTTCCTATATATTAGTGTTAGCTTGTCAAGTATCTTAAAACTAATATAGAAAGTCACTTCATGAATTAATATAAGTGTAGTGTTGCAATAACAAGTACAAATTCAGGTTGATATTCTACCATTGCTGAGCTGTCAGTTCAAGACATTTTCTATAGTGGGGTGTGATGTCATCTTTTTTAATTAAAAAAAAAACCTTCAAAATCCATGTGAAGCAAGACTATCTGTTGACAGTTCCAAAAGAAACAGCAAAATACATTAATTGGAAATAGCAACCTTGGGCATGGGACTTTGGTAAAATTTCACAGATGTAATCTCTTAGAAAGGTAGAACAGATTTCAGATACAGTGGCTGCCAGTCAAACTTAATTCTTCAGGGAACAGAGGTGAAAAAGAAAAGAAAAACAGGCTTTGATAAATTAATCTGAAGTATTAAAGGCCTACTTAATAAATCTGAACTAAATCCAATCTTCATGCATGGCTCTTTTAGGTTTGATATGGGCTCACTCCCTGACCATATCTATCCTTAGTACAACCCTGTTACTGTCTTTAAAAGTATGTTTGGAAGTTTCAGAAAAATAAAAGCAAACTAATTCAGTACTTCTAACTCAGTCATTGAAGTCCACAGATGACAGATTTTTCTGTTTTCCTGCCTGGTCTCTGAGAGAGAGACATGAACAGCAAAATCAGAATACGAAGACAAATAGTTTAAATAAAAATCAGATAAGAAATCAGTCATAGAAAATACCTTATAATTTTAGTCCAATGATGTAGAAAAGTTATTGCAATTTAACACTGTATCAAATGGGATATAAGAATGGACTACAAAAGACTAAATGGATCTTTACAGTTTCATCAACAGCAGAAAACTATTACTAGATGAAATATGCTCATCTCCAAGACAGTACCTGATGAAGGCCTTCAGAAGTATGTTTATTTCTACATCTGTTTTTCCAGCAGCTTGAGAGCATATTACTCTTGGAGAAAATTAGTTAAAGAAACATGCATTATTTTTTATTCACTAATGGTAAAATAATCTTTTCCAAAGTACAGCAAAATCTCCATTATCTTGCATAAGTGGGGAAATGCCAGGTGCTGGTAATGTAAAAATGCCAGTTATCTAAAAATACCAGAGCTGGAAGGAAGGGTTTGCACGTGGAAGCAGCAGCAAGGGGGGATTGCACACACCTTGCACATGGCTGCGGTGCAGGGTGGTGGATGACAGTGGCATAGCAGCCGTCAGGTGGTTGCAAGTGGCGGTGGCATAGAGTGGTGGACGGCAGCAGCGTGGTGCCAGTTAATAGAGTATGCTGGCTAGTAGAATCCCGGAAAACAGGGATTTTACTTTATTTGATGGCTTGCAAGTCTGACATCCAGTTCAGTGTTCTCATATTGCGCTTGCTCTCTCTCAATAGATACTTTTTGTAGTTGGGTTTTGAGAACAACAACATATAAACACTGCCATGTGCTTATATGATGACTGAACTGAAGCTTCTGTTTTCTTTACCTACACCTCCTGAATATAAGCATTTCTGAGCCTCTTGCATGAAAGGTGCTAATGAAGCACAAAGGAAGAAGCCTGCTTCTTTCCAGTGTCATGTGGTACAAGTGGATGTTCCTCTTTTAGAAGTTAAAGACTTACCTTAAGGCCTTCCTAAGGGAGCCTGCTATATTGGCTGATAGATATTGCCATGGGGTTGCGGGCTATATTTTCTCTTAGATCTGGCATTAACTTTAACAGACAGTACCACTTATTTTGACATTATTTTATAATTGCTACTGACAAGAGCAGAGAAGGCAAAATCTGAGTGGTTGCAGAATATGAAAACATGACCAAAGCCACTACTTCTAGGGCCTGAGGTAAATGAAGGCAGTCAAAGTCAAATGTGTGCATAGATAGATACAAAATAAAGGATAGTTTCAAACTGCTGAACAATTACCTTCCAGGTAAGCATGTTTTTATTCCACCCTAAAATACAAGCTACACCAAAAAAGTACCCAATTCAGAGCTCTGCACATTCCTGGGAGATACTCAAGTCACAATATAGGAAATACAAAAAATAAAACCATCTAAAGCAGCAACACTTCTTCCTCCCAAATATCATTTAAATCAGTAGTCATCTACCTTGTGATAATTTGGAGAACTTGTATAGAAAATTCAGGAAATATGGTTTATTTTAGGATTTTCATTAAACTGTTGTGACTGGGAACTTCAGTTTGTAGTATCTACCACCTGTTAGTAGGGCTTCCCAAGGCACTGATAATGGCAAAAAGTTGACCTAAAAAACAGGTGTCAAACTGATCAGACCCAACAAGGTGCCTGATAAGAGCAGTAGGGCAGCTTTACAGGCAAGAGGAGTGGCATGAGTCTGGTCCGCAGGTTGGATTGGGCCCACAGATCAGCCCACAGACTGTGCAGGGCTGATCCTCTGTGGGTGCCGTGTATGCCCTGGACTCTAGCCCCATGTACTGCCTGCCATATGTATGCCAAAACCAGCCCTCGTGTGCCACATATAGTTGCATGCCAAATACAGCCTTGAGTTGTGCACAGTGCTGGCCAGATCCAGCTTCACGTGCCGAGTGTAGCATGTGGGGCCAGTCCAGTGTGCACAACATGCAGCATGCAGATCGAGTCTAAGACGAATGGATGACACAGCAGGCCAGATAATAGGGTTCTGACACACATCTGACCCACAAGCCATATCTTTGGCACCTCCAACCTAAAAGATTCCCATGCAAATATGAGTAACTCAGGATAACACAACAGCTGAAAGAATCAGTGTGACCTGGCTTGACTGCAGACAGTGAGGGAAGGGGCAGAGGCACTGAAACTAAAAGATAAAGGCATTGCCTCAGCCCTTTCAAACAAAAAAAGAACTGCAGAGGAGAGAGCGCGCCCAGGAGCTAGAGAAGTACAGCACAATATGGGAGACAGACCCAAATCTAAGATAACAAAATACAACGTATTGCCTTTTGATGATGAGAATCCAACAGAACTAAACACAGTAATAACCAAAACAATACAGAGTAGATTTAAAAGCATGTGAGATCAGTTTCAACATACCTCATCCATCTCATCACTCTTCCTTTTTTTTCTTGTCTTGGACATTTTAACAGTCACTGGTAAAGCACTGCCCTGGTGTTTCACTTCCATCTTGTTAGGCTGTAGAGGTGTGAACTGAATCTCCATCTCAGGTTTAGGAAACCTGCTAGTTTGTCCATTTTCTGTAGACACTTCAGAAGAGTCCAGGACAGTGTCTGAGTGGTCCTGTAGTAAGGTAGTATGATTTAAGAGAGGAAAAAGTTATTACAGAAACATCTCTAAAATTATTTTATACAGTAACTAAAGAAATGCAGCCTTTGAAAAAACACCGTTTAACAGCTATTGGCACATGGAAAACTTTCTGTAACAAGAGAAGGAACGTAGGTTCCTTTTATGCTTTTTTTAAAATGTTTTAATGATTTTTTTTATGCTTTCTCAAAATTTAGCTTCTAGACTTTATGATTACAACTGAATGTGGACCAAATGTAGTACTTTCTTTCCAAGCCACCTTCTCAGAAACAAAACTCCAGCCTGCTCTCCACTGCTCATAGCTATTCCAGGAAGCAGTAGAGGGTAACAAGATTAGAATATTTGAACTCCTATTGTTCAGAACCCAATGAACAGCAGCAAAACTGACAAGAATTATATCAGCTTCACTCTAACACTACATAGCAATTAAGCTGGATCAGATGCTATATGTAGGGATGGGACGAGCTTTAAACATAAGCTAGAGAAGGTGTCTTCTACCTTGCCCTCTATGTCAGCAGTTCCCAAACTCTGAGAGACTACGCACCACCAATTTAAAGAGATACAAGTGTAAGTACCACCAGCAAATTTTTGTCATAAAGTAATTATAATAAATCTGTTAACACGTACCACTAACAGGCTATCTGCATACCACTGGTGGTACCCATTCCATAGATTGGGAACCGCTGCTCTACATTGTAAGTATGAAGCAAGGGACCTTGCTTTCTACCATAGGGGGAAAAAAACAAAACAAAACAACCTCCCCTATCCCCACCTTGCCCCCAAAACCCAGAGCTCACAGGTTAGAGAGTTCAAGTACCCTCTTTTTTCTGACAGCCCCAGCTGGAATTATGAGTGGGTTTCTCACAGCAACCTCCCATTTCAAGAGCTAAAGATCTAGGATCTTTCTATAAAGAACTTTAAGAAGATGTTATTAGAAAAGAGTTTGAAATTTTAAAAAAGGTGAAGTATAAAAAGAAACAGGGTTAGGCTTGACCAGTTTATGAACCCAAATAGATGCCCTGCACTGAAGGAGGTGTATGAAACGTTTAAAATGCTCTTTAAAAAAGTCTCATGTTAGAAGCAAGGCTTTACAAGGCTCAGTTAGGCTTAATTAGATTCCAGCATTAAGTACATACTATAAACTCTTTTGTGAAGTGATAAATTGATGCAGAGGTAACAGGATTCAGCAAGTCACTACCAGAGCCAGGAAACTGCCTATCACAAGATGTTACCCTCTCCATTTAGTGGAGCTCTTGTTATAGCTCTCTTCCTAATATAGCAACACTGACCACCCTGAGGTAACTGTGAAGCAGCAAAAAAAGGCAGAGTTGTCAGCTTTTTGCAGGCTCTCACCAAGAAATCTGGGGCCCACTATCTTACAACATGATGCAATTTCCTTAGGTCCAGCATCCACAACAGTGATTCTCAGTCAGGATGCCATGGCACCCCGGGGTGCCTTGAGATCCTTTCATGGGTATCACAGGGAACCATGCAATGTTAGCACAGCTAGGCACACAACTGCAATTCACAAGATAAACCTAGAGATTTCAAATAGGAATCCAGAGTATTAAAATCATTCTGACCTGCTGTGGGCTTTCTGAAAACTCTGAAACAGAAAAGATTGGTCTTTTATTTTTCTGTAGTCTAAGAATGAATGAAACTAAGACCTGGCATTTTCCAAGGGGCACCCTGAGTTTAACAAGGGCTGCTTTGAGTTGAGAACCACTTCTCTATAAACAAAAGCTGTAGCATCACATATCACTTTAAGATTTAAATTTGCATACCAACCTCAATTTCATTTAATGAAGAGGCGTTGCTAGGGCAGTGTAATAAACTCTTCCCTTTAACTTCATTCTCTTTCACTGGAACACTCTGTCCAGTTACCCGGTTATTCTCTTCTTTTTTCTTTACCAGTAAAAATTCAGAATGAGTCATGAGAATGCTAAAGTGTAAGCTTCAACAATATTTTAAAGTTATCTACAAACTCCAGTATAAAAGCTCAGTCCACTTAATTCATGAATATTTGTGCCAGAGGACAACATTAAATATTGCAGAGACCCGTGTTGTTAATATCCACCGGTTATTTTTGTAGAAAATATTTCACTAGTACCATACCAAGAGTACCTTCTTTCTTTATAGCTGTCTGTTAGCAGCTTCATAATAAATGGACAATAACTCCCACCTATGAAGTTCAGAGGCAGTTAAATAATATTGTTACCGGGGGCTCCAGGATTAAGGTGTCACCCTTCAGAAAAGTTCTTCTGAAGCCAGAGAAACACTCCAGGAAGTGATTCACAGGAATAAGACATCTTGAAAGTATTTTAACTAACCTTGAGGCAACTGTATATTTAAATCTTCTTTGCCACAAAAATTTCATTTGGTTACCAATTATATTCTCTTCATTTACCAGACTACCTGGGTCGGTTCAATGATGTGAGAAGCCACTAACAGAAACAAAATTACCAGGTAGAAAATTTCTCATTTAACTGCACAGCTTCCCTCCTTATTCATAGCAAGTGGGCAGCTGTGGGCAGTGATTCATAGAAGTGGGAGGAAAGGATAAAGTAGAATTCTTATTATTCTTATGGCAGGCAGACACAGGATGTTTTCCCCACATAAAACACGTTTGCCCTTTTCATAGCCAAATCACTTTAGTGGCCTCTAGTGATCTTTGATAGATTAGTATACCTATTATATTATTAAATTTAATCCCTTCTCTAGTACTCCAAGATCTCATGGTCGTATAATTCTCTCTGTGGTTCCGATTTTCCTCTGCATTGATGTCTCCCAACTTTGTGCTGTCAGCAAATTTGATTAGTGCATAAACAGGAGTATGCTAAATCACTAAATAAATATTAAGCAACATTGGTCCCAAGACCAATCCCTGAGAAACCCCACTCATAACCTCCCTCTAATTTAATACTTCCCCTTTCAGTACAACCCTGTCTTCATTTTAGCCGAATCATTTTAAGACAGATTTTTTTTCAGTTCTTGTACTAATCCCCACAGTCTCCACCTCACCTAATAATTTTCTGTGTAGCACCATATCAAATACTTATGAAGTCTAGACAGATTGAATATATTGTCTTTCCTTTGTCTAAAAAACCTGTTTTCGTGTCAAAATAAGATATTGGGTTAATCTAGTATGATCTTCCTTTAGTAAAACACAGGTTCTATTTTATCATATCTTCCAGTAACCTCCATGTTTTTAATTATCCATTCCTTCAAAACTTGTTCTAGTCTTGTGTACTACTGATTTGGACAAACAGGCCTGTAGTTGCCTAGATTACTCTCTCTTTCTTAAGTAAGTACATTTATTATGCTCTAGTCATATGATGACACCTCTGTGACATCTTTCTACCAAAGGATACTTCTGCAGAGAAAGCAAACCCTATTTTGCAAGTTATCCTCAGATAAGACCCAAACACTTGTGCCCATCATACCTCTAGAGACCTTAGTTCTTTCAGTGAATGGTTTTCCAGATCCCTTAATGGACCAGCTGGTCTGAAAGTTGAACACTCACTCTTGTCACAGCTTCTAAGGTTGTAGGGCAGTTTATATAAAATGAGATAAACAGCGTATAACTGACATGTGAACACTATGAACATGAGTTATAGCTTATGGGCACTATTTTAGTATGATCTTTCAAAGGAGTACTAAGGATTACAACAAAATGACAGGCAAACTATTTCCTAAGAATGGTGGAAAGAAGAGTTTGCCTTGGACAGAAAGGTTACACAAAAACAGTAGTGTAGTTTTTGTATAAATCCAAAACCTGTCCTTTGGAAGTAACGGTAACCAGAAGAGCTAGCTGCAGACTTGTCTAACCAGACTTTTCTAATAAATCTGGAGACTATGGGGAGATCAATGCGACTGCATAAAGGGAGGGGCTGTTCAGAGTAGTAAGTTTTCTAAACCACCTAACTGACCGCTTTTCAAAGCAGTAACCTCTCTAAGGCTGCAAACAGATGTCACCTTTGTGCTGCCATAATTTTTTTATAGTGTCACAAAGCAAAAACTAACAGATGTCTATGCCTTTAGTCATGCCACAAGAGTGATTGCAACAACAGGTAGTATAAGTTTGTGCCACTATTCTGTGGCAGATGTTGGGGTTTTTTTAAGGTGGGAGGGTGTGGGCAGCCTGGAGCTGCATGTGCTCTCCCACCACCCTGGGCAGGTGCTCCTGGGACTTCAGGGGTTCGATTCTGTGCATCCTTGGAAGTCCCCTGTAGGAATAACAGGATCAATCCCCTGAAGTCCTAGGAGCACCTGCCTATCTTTCACTATTGGCATAGGCATGTCCCAAGTGTAGTCCCATAGGATCAGGCTCATGAAACCCTGACTGCAGCAGGGAACTGATTCTGTGAGACAGCAGGTGACATGTATTCCATCCAGTGATGTGGATCAGCTGTGCGAGAACATATCCTTCTTATTTGCAGGACTATTCCTGCCAGAGCCGAAATAAGATGCACCTGAGCTGGTACAGATATACCCGCTGGAGAAGTAAATTGTCCTTGGGAATTTCTTCAGCTCCAGAATTTGGCTCCTTTCACAATTCTCCAGACCATGAATGTAGAAAGAATTACTTATCTTCTTTCATACAGACAAATTGATATGCGATAGAGAAGGAAATATTTTACTCACTACAATGTATTTGAATCTATGAACTAGAAGAATTTATCATTAGAAATTTGTTTTATCAAAATATTATATATTATATTTTATACTTTGTCCCATGTTTTTAGTTTTGAGAGATCCCTTCAGCCTCTGGGATGAATACAAATGAAAATATTGTTAATAACTTGCATTATTTATAGAAAGTACTTGCTAAATAAAAGATTACCTGTTGACTGTGGGAGGATTCATCCGTTTTACTTAATCTTTGTTTAGGTAACAATGGTACCCTTGCAGATTTAGGATTTTCATGACGAGTAGTTTGCTTTAGCTCATTTATCAAATTCTCTCTCTCAGCCAATTCTCTTCTTAATTGCTCTATTACGATTTCATACTCCTGTTAAACACATAATAAGTTTAATTATATAAAGTGATGCAGGATTGGCCGACTAATATAAGTATACACAGGCATGTTTACAAACAGTAATAAACAACTCAATTATTCCTGTGATAAAAGCAAACTTTAATTCTCTGTGCTAAATGTCACAACCCAAAGGGTGTGATTTTTGTTTGTGTGTGCTTTGGCACTGCTAAATTGTTCCCGCTAAATTATAGCTTCTTTGCACAGTGGAGTTTTCTGCTGCAAAAGAGAACCCCGGTGCAAGGGAGAATTTCCCGCCAATTTGAAGCTTTCTTTGCAGGGTGCATTTCTTTGTTGCAGCACAGAAATGCTCGTTGCAAAGAGTTCCCGCCATTTGTATGCTAATTCGATTCCCATTATTGGCCAGTTCTAAATTATTCACACGTGGCGGCTAGTGATTGGCTTGCTAGCCGTATAAAAGGCTTGAGTGGTTTCTGCCCAAGTTGGAGGACTCCACGAACACCGGGAGGAGGAGACTTCACGCTGTGTGAAGATCTCCAAGCACTGCGGATCCTTACGGACCCAGCGCATTTCAAGCAGGCAACGGAGGTCTGATCAACCTCTAGCCTCTCCCTGTCGCCGAGCGCAGTCCAGACGTATCCCTTCCTGCACGCAAAAGAACCGGACCCATGGAGCCTAGCAAACTTCGTGTGAATCCTTGACCGATCTCAGAGTTCTTCTACCCGGGTTCGAGTCCTGCAGGTTTATTTTCCCGTCGCCAAAACCCTTTGCGACATACCCTCGTATTTTTCATCTTCCCGTCGCCAGAACCCTTTGCGACGTACCCTCGTGCCCTGCAGGTTCGAGTTTTCTTTTCTTTTCTGTCTGTAACCGCAACTCAAGCAAGCTTTCCAGCCTGCATCACTGCCATCTCGGTGTAAGTAAACAATCTTTTAAACTACCGATACGCGTTTGTGCCTAATTCCAGCTCGACGGCCTTCCCTCTCCGACCCGGCGTGCCCGGGCTGCTGGCCACAGCCCGTGTGCAGCACGGAAAAGGGCTCGGGTCGCTCCCGGCCCGCACACTAAAGTGGTACTTATGGAAGGTTCTATAAAAGAAATACAGAATAGGAACACACAGCATAAGCTTTCCTGTACAATTCCTAGTATGTTTTTCAGTCGTCATAGAGATCTTCCTTTTGAGATGCACTCCCTATATACCCATTCCTGAACTCCTTGCTACACCTACCAGGAAGGTAACCATTGGCGATTTGTGACATGCATACCTGTCCTCAGGAAACTGAGTTAATCAAACAGTAACTAATTCAATCCTTTAGCTTTTTGGCTTTACAGTGTTATATATTTACATTTCTGATCTTTGATGAAACCAAAAAAAATGAAGAAACAAAGGAAAGCAAACTTTTTTTCTTACTGCTTTGTTTCTCAGGCTACTAAACCTTATCTACTATTAACCTCAATCAGAACTATAAGTAAAGAAAAAAAAAAAAAAAATCAGCCCCAAGAAAAGGTATTTTTCATTATTTTTTTGGCTGACAAAGACACAGAAGAACCACAAATCTCATAAGAAAGCCTGGACTGGAACTTTGAACAGTTTTTCAAACCATAAACATTAAATAATCTTTAAATATTTTTTTGAACTACTGAGCATTTTAGAAGTTCACGGACTGCCAATACAAATTCAATTTCAGAATAAGATATCAGAATGATTTTATTTTTTACATTAACTTAAAGTATTTTCAACATTTCAAGTTTTCAGAGCAAACAAACGTAGCTCTGAAATAATTTTCTGCAAAACTATAGATAACAATTCATGCATAAAAAATGATTAGGCTGACCTTCCCTGAACCTTTTAATGTAGTCTGCTTCAGTTCTTCCATTTCTTTATCTTTCTGTACATTGCTAAAAGGCAGAGTTTTAAGCTGCACTTCTAAAGCTTTTACTAGCTGATCTCTCTCTTCACGCCACTTTTGAAGGTTGTTATCCTTTTCCGCCAGCTGTGCAGTAAGCCTTTCCTAGATAGAAAATAGGGAAGTGATTAGGAAAGCCACCTAAAATTCCTTCCTTGAACTATCACAACTACAAGGTTTCAAATAATTAACTATTGTATTTATACTCCAAAAGAAGGCTCTTAGTATAAGCCAGGAAACCAATACCGGTACTCTATTTAAAAAAGTAAGAATTGTAATCTAGTTTCATTCAAAATAACTGATAGTGTGTAAAAGTAAAACGTGTCTCAAGTAATGGGGTTGCTCCTGCATGTATTCTCTTTCAAAGAGGACGATTTCAGTCAAAAAAGAAAAAGTCCTCCAAGTTGTACAGTATTTACGTAACTCGTCTGTTCCTCATAAAATTAGGCAAGCCTGTCAATATAAAGTTACCTAAAATAGAAAAAGTGTTAGCATGGCAGATCTAATACCCTCCTTCACTTTGATTTTGTGTCTGTTGATAAAAATCAGAATTGGGACCATTAGAAATTCACAGCGAAGACTTTTTTTCTAGATTCTATTGTAGCTTTGGATCAACATCGTATCTTTCCTTACATTAGGTTTAATATCAGTCTTATTACTAGATCTTATTTACACAATGGGAACCATACACCTATCATGAAATTGAGAGGGATAAAGAAAAAACTATGGAATTTTCTTCCTACTAATATGAACTGCATTTAATGCAAATACTAAAGTTATTACTGTAAGTACGACCAGAAAAAATAGCTTTTCCTCTCAGACTTTTGCTTCCCTACAGCCTTTTATAATCAATTTGCTTTTACAAAAGTTGATCAAGATTTACCATATTTACTCGAATATAAGATGAGCCCACCCCCACTGAATCGGCATGCGGAAAAGCCCCTCAATTTAAGATTGCATACAAGGAAATCTCACTAATTAAACTACCATTAAACTACTGCCAAAAGTAGCATGTGCTTAGCCATGGAAACCAACTATGAAGTTGATTACATGCAGCCAACACTCAGAGTCACAGATGGCAAAGTCCCACCGCTCACGCAGGTTTCTAACCTGTGTACAGGACCTCCACCTGACACAGGAGGTACACGGTCCCACTAGGGGGAATGCCATACTGGATCTGGTATTGGCAACGGGGGATGATATGGTTGGGGACCTACAGATCGGTAGCCATCTGGGGGACAGTGATCACCTAATAATAGAATTCACCATAAGACGTCGAGTGGGTAAGGTAACTAGTAGGGTGAAAGTGCTAGACTTTAGGAAAGCTGATTTCAATGAACTCAGGCGATTAGTCAAGGACGCACTGCAGAGTAGGAGTTTTGAAGTGATGGGAGCCCAAGAAAGGTGGCTGTGCCTTAAGGAAGTGATCCTTTGGGCACAAAGCAAGACAATCCCCAAGCGAGGCAAAAAGGGGAAAGGGGCCAGGAGGCTTCCCTGGCTGACCAGAGAAATCCAGGGCAGCCTAAGGGACAAAAGGGGAGCACATAAAAAGTGGAAACAGGAGAGATCACCAAAGATGAATATACCTCCTCTGCTCGTGCTTGTAGGGAGGCAGTTAGACGGGCCAAAGCTACCATGGAGCTGAGGATGGCATCCCAAGTAAAGGACAACAAGAAATTGGTTTTTAGATATATAGGGAGTAAAAGGAAGACCCAGGGAGGAATAGGACCCCTACTAAATGGGCAGAAGCAATTGGTGAC